TAATATACTCGTAATTTAATTAAATAATAATAATTAAAAGAATATGATATAAAAATATAATAATATAATAATAAATATACCTATGTCAAACTCCTTCTTCTCCTTTTGTTTTTTTGAAATCGATAAATAAAAACTTTTTAACAAAAAAATAAAAACCGACTTCAAACAAAAGCACTAAAAAGTAAAAAATAACTGATTGGTAGTTTTCATTTACTATACATACCTAATCAAATATTTTCGAAGTCGGTGTGCTTTGCTTTGTATGGGCTGGCACCGATTTCGAAAATATTTGATTAGGTATGTATTTAATAAGTAGGCTTTAATTACTTAGCCAAAGCACACCGACTTCGAAAATATTTGATTAGGTATGTATAGTAAATGAAAACTACCAATCAGTTATTTTTTACTTTTTAGTGCTTTTGTTTGAAGTCGGTTTTTATTTTTTTGTTAAAAAGTTTTTATTTTTCCCTTTTTAGTGTAGACAGTAGTAGCAAAGTAAGGATTCTAACGTGTTAGGCTTGTCAAATCAAACAAAATAAGCTCAAACTCAAAGTATCTACTATTAGCCGTTGAAGAGTTCCACCTATCCACCTTTTGGCCTTGCCATCAGATCAGGTCAACAACACCGAACCACTGTACTATCAACGGAAATAGAAATACTTGCAAAGTTTCAAGTCAATATGACAATTAGAAGTAGGTTAAATTCATCATTAGTTGTTTTTCCACCCTTAGGGGTGGTATTTTTTTTTGAAATTTAAATGGGACCAATCTGGAAGTATACCCTTTCAAACAAAACCAAAATTGTCCAAATCGGTTAATAAATGACGGAGTTCTGAGGTAACAAACATAAAAAAAAAAAAAAAAAAAAAAAAAAAACATACAGTCGAATTGAGAACCTCCTCCTTTTTGAAGTCGGTTGAAAAGTATGTAAAATACGATCGAAATCACTAAAAAGACTGATAATTAATTCGTCAAAAACTTAAGAGATTTAATTTTTGACTGAATAATAAAAAAAAACATACACACAATAAATATTGACAAGAATAAAGTATTATTATTTATTTATAACATAAAAATAAAAATACAGAATTCAAACGATTCGATTTGTGAACTGTTACTGAACCTTACTTATTAGTTGAGAAACTAACATAGAGTCAATTTATGTATTGCAATATTTCCTTCGATATATTTATTTCAAAACTCTTTGGATACTGGTCAAAGACACTGCCTTTATAAGTCAGTTGCATCATATTATAAACCTGTTTTTAACTACCACCTTTCAAACGCATTACGATAAATTATAATTCTTTTAACGAAATAAAATCCTATACATTGTCAATAAATTATTAAAGTTACTTTCTTAGATTTACGCGAATATTTGACATTTTAAATAAAAATATCTTTTCGGAATTATCGCTGATTTATGTAGATTTTTGGTTCGCGACGTTTAAAATTATTAAAATATTAATATAACGACCGAAAATGCTTAAAATTAAAAAATATTATAAAGTAATTTGGTGCCTTTTTTGAATTCATTTTGTTATTTGTGGGTAGGCTGTCTGTAACAACTATATAATACCTTTGAGACATCTAACACCTTAGTCTCTCCCGTGACTATAATTGCAGTAAAGCATTCGAAAGGTCGGGAACCAAAAATCAAAATAAATCCGCGAAAAAATCCGAAAAGATAGTTACTTTAAAACCTTCTTAACTTAATTAAATTATCTGCTATAATCCTAAAAACAGCTTGAGATCGTCATTTAAATAAAACGTCATTCGTACAAGTAAACGGTTGTAGTAAAAAAGTGCGAGTCTGATGCCCGATTTCACCAACATCACTTAAGCTACCACCTACGTATGGGATCCCTAGCTTAAAAGTTCCCCTAAACTAGCCCCTAAATTAAATTTCGTTTTACCATCCTTAGAGTCCGTATTTCTAGTACATATATTTAGGTGGCATTTTAACATTTAGGTGACCCCTAACTGTCGCTGAAACAGAAACTGTCCCCTAACAGCCCCCTAACCATGCTTAGGGGATCCCTTAAACTTAGGTGACGTTGGTGAAATCGGCCATGAGTCATGCACCAAAGGGTCGGTCCATAGTCTACAGCATTGTTTGTAACTTTATAAAACTCAATACCACAAGATTATGTATACTCAATTTGAGCTTATTTTACATTTTACAATCCACGCCAACTTCACCATTGTATCCACCAGTTTTCAGCGGGGACAATGGATATGGCATACGGAATGATAAGAGTTCCGTTTTTAGCTTTTGTCTACTAAATCTTAAAAAAATATGGATAGATAATGATAAGAAAATTGCAGAAGCTAAAACAAGTTTCTTGTGTTTTCTCTGCGCGTATTTCTATTTTAAAAAAGGCGTACTACTGAATTGATATTTGGAAGAGAATGCATTTAAATACCTTTAAAGTTAAAATATCTTTATAACACAATTAGACCGTAATCGGTTCGGTAGATCCAGATATTACCCCCTACAACCTCACATACTCACAAACTTTACCTCTTTATAATATTAGTATAGAATATAGATTGTAGCGTAAGTAAGTTAATTTTATGTACTTATTTCATTTCTAACTTTCCAAACAATAAGATTATTAAGATATTTTATAAAAATGAATTACCCATTATAATGTTACAGAATCTATAAATAAAAAATATTCCTATAATATGTTGATGTCATTATGTAATTTTTTGCTCGATTTATTTTTATTTTTGTCCGCAATACTTGTTTTTTTTTTCTAGTTTTTGCTCGCGCCGAGTTGTTTTGTCTGTTATTTATTTCATAGCAATAAATATGATAATTGCTTATTCAAGTTGTTGTTATGTTATGAAATTATAGTTTGCTTACAATGGGCAGATATTACTTAGATTTTCCTACTAATTATAATGTAAATTTTATGTTTTGATTCCTATAGGTATACTAGCATTGCCCGCGGCTCCGCTTGCATTCGGATGACCAAAAACCAAATTCTTAGTTTTTACATATTAGTATACTCTTACAGTGCAGTTTTTGTATTTTTTCTCATAAATGTCATATTTTTCCCGCGGTAATTATTATCCTATATGTTGACCCGGATAACCAGCTATCACCATACCAAATTTCATCAAAATCCATCCAGTGGTTTTTCTGTGATGCGGTAACAGACAAACAGAGAGACAGACAAAAATTATAAAAACTATAGATTCGGCCTCTGTATCGATAATAATGTTTGTTTCAATAAGATTTTCCAAAAAATATTTAATGTACCTACAGATTCGGCTTAGTTACAATTTTATTATATGTATAGACTTCTGCGAATATATTGATTATGGACGCTACAAATATGTCTAATATCTATTGTCAGATTATGACAAATAGTAGATTGTCAACTCTTATGATGGATTTAAAGAATAATTAATATACGTATCCTGAATGGCTTCATTAGCGATTTAGTTTTTCGTGGCACAGGTTTTGCCTAGCAAGTAAACAAATGCTTTTTGTTCAGAAATCATGACTTAGTTATATTTGACGGCTTAAATAATACATATCAACATAAGTAAACTCTGCAATAACAGAAGTAAAGGCACACACAATACAAAATATAAAGCATACCTAAGAATGGAAATTCTATACTTAATAAGTTGAGTGGGCATTTCAAATGAAATAAATACTTATAAACAAGCGTTAAACCGACTTCAAAATCACTTAAAGCCAAAGCCTTAGAACTTAATTATTCAATCCCTAGGCGTGGATCTTTTTTGAAATTTATATTAGAGCGAAGAATCATAAAAATCAATGTATCGATATCAGATGCCAACAAAAAAATTACTAACGAATTGAGTACCACCTCAAATATTTCGTCGGCCAAGAATGAAACTGGTTATCTCGAATATCATAGAAACTCGACATTGCCTCATTTATTCATTTCTTTCTAAGATATAAGAAGTGCTCGCCATGATAATCACTAATAAAAAAAACAGTTTTTTTTATTGATAATATTAAAACTCGACAGTAGGTATAGGTTAGTAGTAGACAAAAAGAATGCTTTTTTTGCCAATTTATATACATAAGTATATATGTAGAAAAAGTACCATAGCCATAAATAACAGCGCTAAAAAAAATTGACCTTGGACTATGACGTACAAGTTATTTAGTAGTTTTAAATTATTTCTAATTGTGGATAATAAAGCCAGTAATTTATTTTTAGCCCCCGACGCAAAAAGAGGGGTGTTATAAGTTTGACGTCGATGTTTGTCTGTGTGTGTGTCTGTCTGTAGCATCGTAGCTCTCAAACGGATGGACCGATTTCGATGCGGTTTTTTTCATTTGCAAGCCAGTTTCCTTGCGGTGGTTCTTAGCTATGTTTGGTTAATATCGGTCCAGCAGTGTAAGAGTATCAATTCTTTTCCAAAATGATGTATGGCATTTTGGCGTATGATTTCTCGATTAAGTGCTTCACGCGTGCCAGTGTAATCGTTTAATGATAATTAATTTGCGTAGGGGGTTTTTAAAATTTTTAATTCATAATTTTTGTAAAATTAGATGAAGAATAAAATCAGACATTAATAAAAAAACACTTAAAGACCTGCTAAGTTCCTTTTGCAGTTCCTTAAGGCCAGAGTTTCTTTTCCGAACTTTTAAGTTAGTACTAATAGAATAGAATCTTAACTGTAGTAAGCAAATATTTAATATAACTCTCATTGGCTGGTAGAGGATTCGGAGAGGGGGAAAAAAAGGTTTAGCAGGATAATATTGAAAAAACGTTTTTTTGATATTTTAAGCAACACAGATTTGGTGACTTATTTCGCAATGTCTCAAACTTGTGAAAATGTCAATATTTTCTAATTTAATAGAAATTAAAAACACAAAACTTAATAAGCAAACTGATAAACATAAAATGAAAGTTAAATCTTTAATTTTCCTTTTAGGATTTTATATTGTATTATTTATTTATTAATATTCTTATAGTAAATATTATTTTATTTTGTTCACAGCAATGCCAGACATAGAAGTGGAGTTGAATGAAGCTGTCGTCTCGATTAAAGACTGGCTTTACAAGCAGCCTCACTTACCACATGATGTCGGTAAGAAGAAATATCAGTTTTAAAACACCACTGTAGAGAATGTTCTGTAGATACATAATAATGACTTTAATACATATTAAATTAAATATGGGCTTGACATTTGTGCTAAGTTAATTAAGGTTATTTAAACTCTCGATAACGAGCAGGTATCCCGCTAGTTAACATCTGACTTACCAATATTACGAAAGTGCATCTGTTGCTCGATGTTGGAGCAACATGATTCATTAGATCAACATGATTTGTTGCTTCAAGTTTTTTTATACATTAATTCTTTATTTCGCACCACGAATCATACAAATAAACAAACACAAAAAACAAAATTTACAGCATAAGCTAGGTGGTAACATCTGTTTGTTTTTAAACTAAAATTAGTATGTATATAATTAACATTATATGTAAGGTCACGACTACGAACTACACCACTTTTCTATAGTGCTAAGACAAATAGGTTGAACAAAGGAAGACTTAAAAATTTAAAATATACGTGCAAACACCCAAATATATTAAATAATATAATAACTATAGTATGTATTTAATACATATTACCTATAGATATAAATTACTCAATAGTTGTAATTGTAATGAATACAAATCATTACAAATTAGGCATCATCGCTTTTGATAAACAATGATCTACATATTTATGGATCTAACACGTGAGTAGGTAGTCTCACCATATGTGAACTCTTATTTCCGTGTGTATTCCGGTTACGATTAAATTTTGTAAAAGTAAAGTTAAAAGTGGCTTTAAATTTATTATAGTTACCGTATTTTTATCTATACTAATATTATAAAGATGCCGAGTTTGTTTGTTTGGTTGATTGGTTGGTTATTTGGTTAAAACCAATAGTATATCAAAAAAGATGAATAAACAAATTATTTATGTATAATTGGAAATGGACTTTAATTTTCGTTTTTGTTTTAGCAATTAATTCTAATTGTTAATTCTTTAAATGCCCATATGAGGTCTTATTACACAATTACTACATAGAAAAACCTTATCGTTTCGTACGAGTTGAAATACAATAATTATTTTTTTAAAGACAAAAGATTCATGTTTAGAAGGAATAAAGTACTTTAAAAAAATTTATTAGGTACCTAGTGGAAAAATATAAATATTTTTGCTTAACCTTGGTATCTGGCGAATTATCTAACATATCTCTCACACTTTATAATATTAAGAAATTGGTTGCATTAATAAATCTATACATATAATAAAATTGTAGAGGTCGAATATCTGTACATAGAAAAAAGGGTAAAAGCCAAGTCAGTCGGATGTAAGAAGAGAAATAGAACAAATCTATTTTTTTTTTTCATTTTTTTTGTTTTCTGTCTGTTTGTCTGTTTGTACGGGCTAATATTTTATAATATAGATTCAATTAAAAAGATAATGATATTAAATTTAATAAAATATGATTGTCACCTCAAGTATAAAGTAGGATGGATTGATAGACGATAAATGTATACATATAATAAGAATGTAAGTTAGGTGTGTCTGTACATTGCTTATATTTACAAAAAAAATAGAGAATAAATATTCTCAATCCCCCGAACTATTTTTTTAATAAAAGAAATTTCTGGAAGACATGTAATATCCACTAACCTGCACTTAACCAGCGTGTTGAAATTAACAACCTCATATTGTACCCTGTGCCCATCAGTGGGATGTTTAAAAGTACTGAATATAAAGTATTGATAATAAAAATATATAATACTTTCTTAGATTTACGCGAATGTTTGACATTATTAAATAAAACTATCTTTTCGGATTATTTTACGGATTTATTTTGATTTTTGGTTCCCGACGTTTCGAATGATTTACAGCATCCATGGTCACGGGAGAGTCACGTCCCGTCCCGTGACCATGGATGCTGTAAAGCATTCGAAACGTCGGGAACCAAAAATCAAAATAAATCCGCGAAATAATCCGAAAAGATAGTTTTATTTAATAAAAATATATAATAAAAATCACATAAAATTCTCATATGCCATCATTAAAAAACACTTTGCTATCTCATTTTAGGTCATAATACAAGTATCGTTTAGCGTTTCACAACGGTAAAAGTAACTTGTTATTGGGTCAAAGATGATTGCAGGTCAACGAACATTTGGCAGTTAACTATTACATACCATATGTTGCTTCGTCAAAAAATAAAATTCGTAAAAATTGCTTAATCTGGCAATCTTAACGTTCTCTCTCCATGTGAAATCGTGATAAATAACAACAGCAGCATTTAACTTGACTGCGTAACTTTTTGATTATTATGACATTTATAGGATTGCTTAAACTTAAAAGTCATCTGACGCGTGTTTGATTTGAAGTAAAATTATACATACAAAATGTTTGTTATATTAATAAAAAAATATGAGTACCGAGTAGAGATAAAAAAATATAGACAAATCTGTGTAACCGAGAACTAGGTAAGGGAGAAAACTCTGTAAGAGTAAGTGCCAGGTCCCGTCACTTTATCCCTCTACAACCTATATAAATGAGAAACTGAAGCCTCTATAAGAGAAAGTAGTTTTTCATTCGTAGATCTCTATAACTGAGACTCCTACTTCCCTGTATAAGCGACAATCGAGCGAATGTAACACCTGATATTTATGGCTTAAATTTCGTAGAACTAACACTGCTTTTGTTTCCTTAAATTTCGACGAACTAATATTAAATTCTGATGAATAATACCCATCAATACACACATGTTTATTATTACAAATTCGCTGTATTTTCTTTAAGCCTTTAGAAATGAGAAGGGCCACTCCTGTATCTCTATAAGTTAAAAACTCGGTTTAGTTGCAAAACTCCATAAGCGAGAAAGAGATCGCGGTCTCTAGAAGTCTCGCTTATCCAGGTTCGACTGTACCTATCAGTAATATTATTACTATTAATTTATTTATAACGTAATCAGTATTATAAATTACCTTATACATTTTTATAAATATCTTAAGAGTGACCTTTCAACCTTTAATTCGTAACTCAAGGTTAAAATACTCTATGATTATTTTGAAGAAACAAAACCAAATCGAAAATACTTGTAGCAAAATCAATACTTTAACTTTAAATACGAGGATAATAATACATCATTTAGAAATTAAATATATGAGTAATAATATAATTAAAGATAATAATATCTAGACAGTTTTAATATTAATCGTCGAAGCACAGTTGTATAATATACAGCTGCACTCTCGTTGATATCGAAACTATGAACGGTTTTTTTTAATATAATTTAAAATTATGTTTTTTTTTTAATTACGAGATTATATTAGCATTTAAATGTGTGTTAAATAAATAACTTGACAATATTTTATTTTGGGCATCAATTTTTAAAATAGTTTTGTATATCAGTGGCGAAGGGTGAAATTTTAGTAAAGGTAAGCCGTTCCAAAAATATACAATTTTTATATACGTATTAATGCAGAAAGAAATAAAGATATATATATATATATATATATATATATATATATATATATATATATATATAAATATATCCAAAAGAACGGCGTAAGGCGTCTTGTATGTACGCTTCGCCACTGCTGTATATTAATATTACTATATGTAGATGATGCTATACTATTCTATTACAGATTTAATAAGGATTATTATTTTAGGAAATCCTACCTAATTTAATTAGTAGAAACTAAGTTCAACTATGTTAAGAATTGGAATAAGGTGAAAATGATAATTACCATTGATCGTTCATAATAGTATATATATAGTCCAATATAACTAAGCCGTATAAGAGTTGAGAAATTGAAGTAAAAACTCAGGCTACGACCTATTTACAACATGCATGTAACACACATAGATGTATGAATATAACACACAGTGAAAGTTGCTTATAATGTAACTATATACTTTCATTTTTGAAATTTGACATTTAAAACAAGTAACAATATTCCAAGTTTATTGATTTCAGTACAAAACATTAGAAACCGAAACAAATTGCGAAGTGCATTTACTCACGCTCGTAAATAATTATGACACACGTTTCAAGACGAGTGTTGCGTTAATTTTGTTGTGCATATTTGTTATTATGAATCTACATTGTTTGACAAATTATCTTTATTTATTCACACATATTGTTTGGTCATGTTAGAAATCTATTAGAGAAAGGATACTAAAAGAAATATACAGTTACGATTTCGTGAACTCGTCAGGTTTTATCTATATTTTTACTAAAAACAATAAAGAGTCCACTTTCCTAGTATCGCTTTCTCTTGCAGCCAGACTTGTAACTGACCACGGTGCGCTTTTATCATTTAACTAGCTATAGGAACCATATCTTTGGAATATTTAATTTTCGGAAATAAAGTATGTGAATCTTTCTTGCAGAAAAGCATAAGAACTCTAAAAACTTTATATGATCTATTTTTGAATGAAGAAATGAATGTAAAGAATGAAATGATAATGAAACGGTTCAAAATTATCTGCAAAATGACTTGTTTTTTGACCTGGACCTTGAAGAAAATAAACGCACAAGCACGATTGATGGGAACTGTTAACAAGTCATTTAAAGTGGGGGGTCCACTTACTATAAGGCTCATTAGATTGGGTTATTACTATGTTTAATTTCTAGTTAGGACCGTCTTGAAGATATAGTTGTTACAGACATATCTTCAAGACATGTAACACCTCAGTCTCTCCCGTGACCATGGATGCTGTAAAGCATTCGAAACGGCGGGAACCAAAAATCAAAATAAATCCGCGAAATAATCTGAAAAGATAGTTTTATTTAAAAATGTCAAACATTCGCGTAAATCTAAGAAAGTATTAAACTTTACCTCTTTATAATATTAGTACAGATCAATATTAGTGCTATTATAAATGTGAAAGTTGCTATTAAAATTTTCTAAATAAAAGGGCTAACTTAATTGGACCCAGTTATGCAAAAAACAGCCATGTGCGTAAAAGTACCAACAGAGTTATAGCATTTTATTATAAAAAATAAAATAATTATAAAAAATAAACAATACCCCAAGTGCAACTATCGACAGAAAAATGCTTATAACTCTGTTGGTACTTTTACGCACATGGCTGTTTTTTGCATAACTGGGTCCAATTAAAATGCAATAAAATTCAACAAGTTTTGTAATATTATATGAAGATATAAAGATTATAAAAAATGTAATTGAAAACATGTTCAGTGTTCACGTACACTTAACATATATTTAAACACTGAATAAAAATATATGGACGAGTGAGACATTTATATACGAACTAGCAGAACCCGCGGCTTCGCTCGCGCTAAAAGCAAAAAAATCTCTAAAAAGGTAGTTTCATAGAAACTTCCATCCCCAATTTTATCCCCTTATAGGATGAATTTCGAAAAATGCTAAAACATTTATTTATTTAATTTTATTAAAGAATATTAACACCAAGTTCCAAGTAATTCTGATCATAAATATTTTTTTGGATTGTATTATAACGTGTTTCCCAGTGGGAATTAGATTATTTCCCGCGGTATAAAGTAGCCTATGTCACTCTCCAGTTCTCCAACTATCCCCACACAAAAAATCACACCAATCCGTCACTCCGTTTCGACGTGAAAGAAGGACAAACAAATAAACATTCTTTCACATTTATAATATTCGTATGGATATCAGTATTCTTTAACTTTTCAGTAGTGCAGTTCAGTATTCTGCAGTATCTATATTCTATAGTTTCAAAAATTAAAGCAGTAAAGAGCTCGATGGGATTTGCCATCAGCAATATAACCGCGTAACGGGCTCGCTTGGAAAACCGAGTAAAGCGGGTTCAAATCCGGGGCCTCCCACTTTTGATATTTTTATGTGCGAATCATTTCCAACATGATTACAACTTGTCTTACGGTAAAGGAAAACATCATATGGAAACCTGCATGTCTGAGAAAACCTAGCAGGTTTTCGAAAGACAAGCTAAGTCCGCCATCCCGCCCTTGTCAGCGCGGTGGCCTGATTCCCCGTCGTATTGAAGGGAGGCCCGTGCTCAGCAGTGGGACGTTAAAAAGGGCTGAATACACTATAAATAAAAACTTAAACAGCTTTTTAGGAAAAGTCGTAATGGCTATGTATTCATATATTAGTACTAAAGAAATTAAATAAATATGTTTTAAATAAATAATTTATTCATATTACCATATATAAAACATCATCAATTAGGTAAGGTTTTAAGAAACTCTATATTTGACAAACTTCAAGATTCTTGACCGACTGAACTCAGGACTGCAAACTTCATCCGACCTGTGACTTTTTAAAATACCCACTGAAATTCTTTCATACGTTCATGAGTAACACACAATAACGAAAATACAAAAGTGCTAAATATTTATCCATTTTTTATCTATTACATATTTAAATTCCTTGAAATATTTTTTAATTACATTTGTATATACATAAATATACCATATCAGAAATACATATGTAAAATGTTAGCTACTTCGAAACAAATCAAGTTTTTTAAGTACTCTTTACTTAATTTAATATTATCTTTACTGCTCGACGTGTGAATAATGTAACAATGGAAACATAATTAGCAGATATTTCTTTATTTTAAATGTTTTTATAATTATTCTCATTTCCAAAATAAAATATAACTTTTTGGCGAGAAACATCTAAATACATTTTTTTTCGTGTATGTACTGTGTTATGTCTCAAAAAAGTCTCAAAGTACTATCCACAAATCTACAACAATAAAGAATTATGTACTATAATTAAGAACTAAATTGCAAGAGAACAAAAATCTTATTTTGGTGGTCAACATACATCGTGATGTGATTAGACTCTTAGAGCCATTAAAGAAAGCCAGAAAATTTATTAGAACGTATTATGTATACTAATATGTAATTTATTGTGATGTAACAGAGGATGTCCTCCTGCGTCGCTTCTACATCAGCTGTCACAAAAGCTTCGAACGGGTGAAGCGAACTATAGACCTGTTCTTCACTATCCGTTCCACAGCACCAGAGTTGTTCCTCAAAAGAGACCCGTGGTCACCGGAAATAAGACGAGTTTTTGAGATAACGTAAGTTTGGACTAATTTTCTTAACTGTTTACAAGTATACAAGATGGAAATTTAAATGAATATTTATTAGTCCTTTCTATGTTATATCACCGTATTAGTATAATTTGTCTACATATTATATATCTATCAATATCTTTACCCACATATTATAAACAATATTTCATAGTAATTCAATGAAATAAACAACTCATAATCGGTTGAACCGCCACGAAATTAAAAGTAAACACACAGGACAGTAAAAACTACATTTTCAACAGTAACAAAAACTTGTTTATACATATTATGCTTCTAAACGAGTAGGTTTATTTAAATCTTCGGCCTAAAATAGGTATAGAAAAAAAACACAGCTAGCTTTTTGATATTCAAGTATTTGCAGTATCCGTAGTGACGCAAATCGATTGAAATGGTAGCGTCTAATAGTCTATGTATATTAGTAATTAAGTTTTTATTTGCAAAACCTGTCATAGTCATAAAAGATTCTTAACAAACGTGATAATACAAGTTTTCTAGGTTTATTATATTCACCTTATAATTATATGAATATTGGACGAGCGAATCTGATTATCGCTTGAGGGTTCCGTATCACGTTTTTTCTTTATTTTACCCAACGTAAAGGTGTAATATTTATACATAAGTAATTTTATTCTCTAATTTTAATAATATTATATGATATTATTGTCATTTGTTCTGTGAAACAAGTACTTATTTCGAGTCCCGCTGGGGGCATTCATTTGTGTGATGAGCACGAATGTTTGTCCTCCAGTCAAGGGTATTTTATAAATATTATAATGTGTATGTATTTAAAGTTATATATGTGTAGTGTATCAATTATCTAGTATCCATAACACAAGCCTCGTAGGTAACATATGGAACTAGGTGGTGCTGTGTGTTAATGATTTATTTATTTAATATCTATATATTAGGTATCTTTACTTTTAGTATTTAGCTTATTTTTAAAACCTACGGAGCCTTAAATAAAAAACAGGCTACTAAAATACTACTTCCTAAAATCGATCACTGGTGCGAAATATTCAAAAAAAATTAAGAGAATATCTGAGTGATAATTTCGCACTTGCCTGCTAATTGTATGATAAAAATATATGTGCATATATTTGTCCAAAAATTAATATATTGGAAAATATAAAAACTTTAAAAACTCACAAGTCTGTTGTAATAGGAAATCGAAAAAAAAGTAAACATACTCAAGCAAAAGGCAAATCATCATCTAAAATGTGTTAGAAATCTTAAATTTATTTCTTGACAGTCTTCGGTGGAAAGGAGGATAAAAGGAAGAGATAGAGATTGAGTTTGTTAAGCTTCACCTATTTTATGAATCGATTTTCTTTAAACCTAACTTTGTTTTGATAAATAGGATAATTCCATATTAATAAAAAAAAACACCCTTATAGGGAACTATTTTAAATAATTTTGATATCAGACTGCCTTTTTTAATAAAAAGTAATTTCTATAAAAGTTTATTCTACGTATCAACAACGATGAGTATAAATAAAATTTTTCAATACTAAGCTTCATTTTCTAAATTTCAGGGACATGTTACCGCTCCCGAACAAGACGAAAGAAAATTACAAAGTATTTATCTATCGTTTAAATAACCCGGACTATGATCTATTCAACTTTGTGGATGCTGTTAAAACATTTTTCATGCTGGCTGACACCAGACTCACTGAGGAGGAAGATATTCCTTCAGGAGAAATACCAATATTCGACTCCGCAAACATAACCCTTAAATTCATAGGAAAAGTCAACTTGTCAGTACTAAGAAAATATATGGTTTATACACAGGTAAAGAACTTAACATGTATGTAGATATTATTTGTTCGGCATTGTGATTCATTTTACTCATCACAATTATTCTAATTTTTCAATGACCTCTTATATCAGCAAACAAAGTCATACGTCCGTGATTAGGTCACATTACTCTCCATTGTGTATAAATTATAATAAATAAATATATAAGACGGAGGAGGATTTAGTTACCTTTTTCTGTTATGAAACCCTATCATTGTTTAAAGTCACTATGTTCTTTAATTTACTTTTTATTGCTTTTGAATTTAGAGCAGAGATTTAGTCTCGAGCGGGGTCGAGACGCCATCACGACATTCTTTGGAGATACGTGGCTTAGTAACGTTGGTTGATCATAGAGAGTTATATTAGATATTGTAGTTGGAAGTCGATGATCGGTGACTGTGAACCCGCTAGCTCTAAATCATTAGAATTACCGTTTCAAGTTTATAACATTGTGACTTCCCTGATTAAATTGTGTATTGAGCACTAAATACTTTATTATTTGAGCCCTGATAACGCCCACAAGATGAGTAACCACTAAAGATGATGTTCAAGTATATGGATAACACGACATATATATATATATATATATATATATATATATATATATATATATATATATATTCCGTCCACTATAACTAATGCTTGAGGAATACAAGGTCAAATCTGTGCAAGTGATCCTACAAAGGTACACCACACCTACTTCATATCGTATGTACGAAAGTCTAAAATTCTATATGTTACCTACGTTCTGGGTATAATAATTAATAATAATTTTATTTTGTTATATAAGTATATAGCGAAGGGTTAATTTTTCTAAAAAGGTAAAAGAAAACATTTTTCTTTATTTAAATGGAGATTAACATTTTTTTTTCAATAATGATACTTATGTTAAATTACAAAACATGATTATGATAATTTTTTTGCAATGTGGATAATAAATCAATTCAATTCAATTTTTTTATGCGGCTAGCGTGTCAGTTGAGCACAGGAATAAAAAATCGTTGGGTATTTCGACGTAATGAAATTTTGTTAGCAATTTTCAATTACATATATAAAAATCTAATACAGGAGATATTAATTGTCGAATATCTGTGGACATTTGAATCTGTTTTTTATGATGAATGCCAAAAAAATTGAAATAAACGTGTCGAATTAAGACTCAAACATGTAACTAAAGGCGGAATAGTAAATGATAAGATACTATTAAAATATAAATCGGTAAATTAAAACTTTTTTCTTACATATACATAAAGTTAATTAATAATATTCGCAATAATATCGGGTTTGAATCATTTTAATTTTATTATTTAATTAGATATATTTCGCACACGACCATTATTAATAGCACTTGGCAAATTAGAATTAAATTGTCTTACAGTTAAGTACTTATTCGTACACGAATTAGAAATTTCTTATTACTTGATAGTTTTTAGATATTTAAAAAGACATTTTGACGACACGTTGGCTCAGTGTGTAGTAACCCTACTTGCTATGCCAGCGGTTGCGGGTTCGAATCAACTATCTGGTATCCATAACACAAGCTTTGTAGCTTACCATGGAACTAGATGGTGTTGTGTGTTAATGTCCCAACATATTTATTTATTTATTTATTATTTAAAAAGTGGCCTTTCTTGTATGGTGCAATTTTTCACATGACTCGCAAAGAGGTGAAGTCTTGTTTTAGTTCAAAGTGGCTATAAACAGCCAGAATCATTAATGTCAGTAAAAATAAGATTGTATAGGTACTATCTATTCTAAAAGTCTATATAACAAGGCATCTCCTTATCTTAGTAAATAACTTAAAACATTTTCAAACGAATTATTTAGTTACTAAGAAGTTATACTTAGTTATATATATTTATATATGTTTATTGCTGTCATCTTAATACCTTAATAACTTAGCAAAATGGACTTAATAGTAGATTATAAGTGAATTTTCGAAACACGTTCATATGGAAGTACAGATACACATATAAAAACCTGATTTTCATAATACTTTCTTAGATTTACGCGAATATTTGACATTTTAAATAAAACTATATTTTCGGATATTTTCGCGGATTTATTTTGATTTTTGGTTCCCGGCTTGTTGACCGAATGTCTTTTTTAATATGAAAATTAAAATTTTTATTAATATAAAACTTGTACATGTTAGATCCCAAATTTTATGATAAAACATTAAATTTCCAGGAATCAATTCCAGTACGGCTAAAGCAAGTGCATGTGATCAATGCACCTTCCTACATCAGCAAGATATACGCAATTTGTAAACCACTTTTGAAGGCGGAAGTTGCTAAAATGGTAAGTTACGTAAAAATTTTGGTAGTAATACTATATAATAAAATAATAAAAAAATATATATATATTCTTGGACTTGCACTTTATAATCAGTAGTGTACCTAACAAAAATAGAGCAGAGATCGATAAGGGCAGAAGTGGACTTATTTCTAAAAGAGGTCTCGTAAGAAAGAGTTTTACAATACATATATACCTACAGCTTAAGTAGTGCACCTGAATTAGAATTTTAAATAATACATATATACTTAAATTACAAAAAATTAATTTTCCATTTTTGGTAACGAAAAAAAAAACATTTTTGTTCATATTTGATATTTATGCTATTTTGCTTTCCCTTATTAATGTATGAAAATCTGTCACATTAACTTATATATTACTTTTATATTATTTATTACTTTTACTTACGTGATATAGTAACTTAACGTAACTTATATTTCATTTCGTGAGGTAATCAAACCAGTAACTTTCGTCATAATACGATAGCATCAGGCACACAGTCATACTTATATCTTACTAATTATGTACTTATACAATTTTCTTCGTTGTACAATTATAATTGTAAATATATTAACTATGTACATTGTATTCTTAATTAGAATTCATTGAAGTTTTCTATTATGGAATCGCTTGATTTAATTATGTGATTAAATTGGCCGTAACATTATACTTTAAACTACACTGTTTTGGTTGAATTGCCACGATAATATAAAAAAAACTTTGTAGTGTAGTAAATGCATGTATTACATAAATCTTCTTGGTGAGCAAACTCCTTAACTTTACAAAATTAAGTGGCACCTACTTGAACTACTTTCTAATATAATACGAATAAGTCAAAACATATTGTCGGTATCCAGGGCGAAAGGCAAAAATATACTTTTTCTTTTTGCAATAGCGGTCTAGAGTTCGATTTCCGTTCGAAATTAATGTATGTGTATATATTAGCTATATTTAATATAAGCAGGCGCGTATCCAGATTAGGTTAGGGAGTTAGGATCATGATTACCGAAACCGAAATAAAAAATGAAAATTTATTCGTTTTTAAGAAACTGTAACTAACAGGAAAATATAGAACATTTATTTATATACATACACAAACACATACACATGTCTATTTGTCAAAACATTGATGTAATAAGTCTACATAAATCTATATTCATAATAATAAGGTGTATAGACAAGGCAATCGTGCGGAACGCGCGAACGGTGAAACGTGGCGTGGGTGAGGTGCCTACCTACTGTCAAACTTACTTTTATATGACAATCGGGAAAGGGCTTTAGGGTTGACGAGTATAACTATAAATTTTCATGAAAAGGAAGACTTTCTGTAGACAGCACTTTAACTTTGAAAACGCTCGCCATGCTACTTGCTATTTTTGACAACCCTTGCATTTGACAGCATTCACAAAACAATGGGCGATCATCTAATGTATGATTTTTTATACTATGGCCATAACCCAAACCAAAATAAAGGACAACCCGGTACGAAATATATGGTTTACTAGCATTGCCCGCGGCTCCGCCCGCGTTCAGATGACCAAAAACCAAATTCTTAAGTTTTACATAATATTAGTGTACTCTTACATTGCATTTTTGTATTTTTTCTCAAAAATGAGATATTTTCCAGCAGGAAAAAGTAGCCTATATGTTGACCCGAATAATCAGCTATGACCATACTAAATTTCATCAAAATCCGTCCAGTAGTTTTTCTGTGATGCGGTAACAGACAGGCAGACATACAAAAATTCTAAAAACTATAGATTCAGCCTCTGTATCGCGATAATAATGTCTATTTCAATAAGATTTTCTAAAAAATATTTAATGTACTGATTTGACTTAGTTAGAATTTTATTATATGTATAGATATATTTATCAACAATTTATCCCACATAGATAAAGTTCCACGAGCCGAACTCAGACAGTCTGTACAAGGATGTACCGCTCGAGCTGTTGCCGACCGAGTACGGCGGTGACGCGGGCTCCATCGACCAAATCAAACGATACTGGATAAAGCGGATTGAAGCTAAGAGGTGAACAATTTCAAATTCAAAACACTTTATTTATATTACACGCACACGTGCACATGCGCATACGCACACACGCACACATATCCCTTACTTGAGAAATGATTGATTCCCCATACAAACTTACACTTCCCTTTTCACAATCTTAAGGGATGATTTCCGGGGTAAAAACTATCCTATATCCTTCCCAGAGTCTCAAATTATTTTCATACCAAATTCATCTAAATCGGTTCAGTAGATTAAGCGTAAAAAGATAACAGGCAAACAGACACACAAACAAAGTTACTTTCACATTTAAAATATTAGTATGGATTCCTAAATTCGTACCTAAAGCCAAGGCTGATTAGTATAGAAATACTTTTTTAGATTTACGCGAATATTTGACATTTTAAATAAAGCTATCTTTTCGGATTTTTTCGCGGATTTATTTTGTTTTTTTTTTATTGATTTTTTTATTGAACTAATTAAAATTATAAAAATGTTTAAAATTAAAAATTGTAAGGTACTTTGGTGTCTTTGGCGTTTTTCAATTTTTTAAGTTCATTTTATTAATTGTGGGTAGACTGTCTGTAACAACTATATTATAATAGGTACCTTTGAGACATCTAACACCTTTGTCTCTCCCGTGACCATGATCGCTGTAAAGCATTCGAACCAAAAATCGAAATAAATCTGCGAAATAATCCGAAAAGATAGTTTTATTTAAAATTAGTATAGATAGTTAATACCACTGTTTATAGTATAATTTTTTATACTTAATAAATATTTTCTTTTGCAGAGATTGGTTCCTAGCAAACGACAAGAATTGGGCGGTGGATGAATCATTGCGACCAGATAAAGAGAACAATCGTGTGAAAGACTTACCCGGATCTTTCCGATCTCTCTCATTTGACTGAAAATACATTATTTCGATTAAATAATCAAAATCACTATAGTTATAGTTATTAAGTTAAATTGTTACATATATATAAAATACTACAATTGTATGAAAATAATTACATTTATTTAAAGTATTTGTGAAAAATATTAATTTATAATATTCAACAGAAACATAAACCCATGAAAAGATAGCTGATATAAAATAATTTAATAATAAAGTGATGCTTACAATATTGTGTGGTAACTTCGTTAACTAGCGTGAATTTCGATGCGTCCGTCCTTTAATATTAAAAGTATATTTATACTTATAAGTATTTACTTCATTTTCACATATTATTTTAATTAATTTTAAAACGATACTCCAGAATAAATTATTAAAATATGTTATATCGCGAAATCTTCATTAAGAGGGCATCGAGCTTTTGATTTTAGTAGGACGGCAGCAGGACGGCAGCGTGCAGGGGGGAGTGTGGCTAGGATGGACGGAACGTGCGAATTTAGGTATTACCTTCGTATCATTAAAACTAACACATATTTTGAAAATTTAAAATGTATACGATATAGAAAACGTATAGTTTTGTTATTATTAAAAAAAATATGAGCTTCCTGGAATTGCTTTTTAGAGGTCATATTAGATTTTTTTTCTATCGAGGAAACTACAAGTAATCGTGTTTCTAAAGTGTACTATTTATAGAATAAATCTTTAAATATCCTAGATATTATTTGCATAATTACAGCAGAGATCAAACTAACGCTATTATTTCGTAATTGCCGCGGTGCGTTCTTAAATATAAGTATAATTATACTTAAATTCATACTTGTAAAATAGAATAAGGCGGAAAAATAAAACTTATTTTTATCAAAGGTGTGGTTTTATCTTTAAAGGTAACACTAAGATGATCGGAAATATTTTTATTGCTATATAATATATTATAAGTATAGGATCAAGTGCACCTAGCTTTAATTTTACTTGTTGCTAGTATCCATTTATTTTACTTCAATTTTTTTTGGACTATTTATTTGTGATTTTTATTTAAATATATTACGAAATGTTTGTTACTAACTAGTAGTTTACGTAAATTTTGAAAACAATTTAATATTATTGATTTTTAATTATTTTTGTTAAACATAATAATGATTTAACAATAATAAGTAATATTTTCGTAATAAAATCTTTTATTAATATTATTTAAATTCTTTTATTTGTGTTTATTCGTTATAATTAATAACTAGAGTATGTTATATTTGAAACGTAAACATGAACAAATAGTAGGAGATCCCGATCTATGTGATGGACCCCTCGCCCTTTTTCTAGACGAAATATATTTTTAATAAACCTCCGCAGGGGTGTTGCAGTGAGTGCGAAAGCGATCCTGCACGAGGGTATTTTTAATAAAAAAAACCTCTTGTCTGGTGATGTTTTAGTATAATAACCCTGTATTATTAAATTTGTAATAAATATGTTGGTTGGTTCCGGAAAATACGATCTGGTACAAGGAATTAACTACTTCAATTTTCCTCTTTATATCTGGACGTCAGGTAATGTAGATTCGAAAAGACCGCCAACCGTATGCGTGGCATTTTCTACAAGTCTTTTACTTTCTATTGATACTAAGTTATCACAAGAAAAGAGATTTTGTACTTTAAAAAAATATATTTAAATAGTCTGGAGCAAACTTTTGGTGATCCCCTGGGTCATGTTTGTTAATAGGTTTTATGTGAAGGGTTCACGTAGATCAGGATCTTAGACTAAAAGCTATATGGAAAAAAATCAAAATTCAAAGGTGACTTACTCATATATTCTGGTAAATATTGACGTTTTACAGTGACTTATACAAATAAGCAGATTTTAATTTAATGACAAAAATACTTGTAAAACCCAAGAGTATCCTCCAATATAAGTGTCATTGGTTTTTCCATAATGAACCTAGTTAGTAAAAAGTAAATATATTAAAGTTATCAGTACTTAATAAAAATTTAATGTTTAAATCATAAGAAATAGCTGCAGAAAAAGTGCTATTTCCAGTATGTAGTCCAATTTGCCACAGAAACAATGGAATATTTTGAATATACTAAATAATAATCTTCATCTCCATATGTTCAAAACTACAATCAAATCAAAGATACAAAAACCATATTAACTACTAAATATTATTTATCACTTGTCTAATGATTAATCTATTGATAAAGTTCTGAAGGAACCGCTCATAGTATTATTAGCAATTTTCGATATCTTCTTTGTATCCGCTTTCCACACATTGTCATCTAAGAAAAACTTTCTGAAAAAGAAACATTTTATTAAAATATACAATCTTATTATATAAAATTTACTTTTATATCATTGCATAGTATAAAACAAAGCCGTTTCTCGCTGTTTGTCTGTCCTTATGTATGCTTAGATCTTTAAAACTACGCAACGGATTTTGATGCGGTTTTTTTAATAGATAGGGTGATTCAAGAGGAAGGTTTATATGTACAATACATGCATATTATAGTACAGAAAAGCCAAGAAATTCAAAGATTTGTATTTCATATTAACCGTTAAAACGGACGAACTCGAGCGAAGCGAGGGTGAGTCGCTAGTTATCTTATAATTTAATAATACAACAATAATTTTCCAAAAACTAACTGATTGATACTTTGTTATTTGATTGATTGATTTTTACTTTTATGAAAATCATTTCACCGCCAATCTATACATATAATAAAATTCTAACTGAGTCGATCTGTACATTAAATATTTTTTGGCAGATATTATTGAAATACTCATTATTATCGATACAAAGGCCGAATACATAGTTTTTAGAATTTTTGTCTGTCTGTCTGTGACCTCATCACGTGAAAACAACTGGACAGATTTTGATGAAATTTAGTATGATAATAGCTGGTTATCCGGATCAACATATAGGATACTTTTTACTGCGGCAAAATATCTCATCTTTGAGAAATCTATACTAAACGTTAAAACGTAAGTTGTGACGAACACGAGCGGAGCGAGGGTGAGTCGCTAGTAGAACAATAAATACAAATGAAATTTATGATTTCTTAATATTGAAAGTTTATTAAGCTTTGTACCTTTCTCTATCGAATTTTTTACGCCACTCCTGGTTTTGTTCGTACATGCTTTGAGCTTCACCACCGTACTCTACCGGCAGATATTTTTTATCTACAAATTGGTGCAAGCTTTCGTAGTCAGTAAAAAAGTGAATCTGAAATATTTATTTCTATTATATGTCAAGCATCCAAAGGCCAAAATTTTCTAGTTTTGCAGGTGGTGTAGAAGTTATGGGTTAGATGAACTCTGTCCTTTAGCAGTTTCGATTTTAAAGTTTATTGTTCAAAGTTAGTTATGGATTATCATAAAAACTTAATTTTCATAATGCTAATAAATTTCGATTGATCATTAAATTGAATTAAAAATGTATTGATGAGTGGTTATAAAGCTGCCATCAGACTTCTTATTCACAAAATCAAATTATTCTTCCGTTTAGGTACAAAAGGCGTTTAGGTATATAAATTATTCGAGGATATGTTCAATGCTATTATGTAGAATATATTTTTTATCAACAATATTATAATGGAAATAATATATCCAACACGATTTACAAGGCAGATTGTACATACATTTTAGTACGTACTTTATTACAAGACGGAGAGGAAAAAATATGTTTAGCTAAATTATGAAGCGCGAATTTTAACCCGAAGAGCATTGACACGATATGACATTGACATGAACGGTTGCACATTCAATGATCCCGGGTTCGAGTCCCAGTTCGGGTCAAGTTCAGATATTGAATCTTTCTGTTAAGAAAGTCTTAGTAACAGTCCAGAATCGGGAAGTTGGCGGTGTTTCATCCCCGTGTCTCGAAGTGCATGTAAAGCCGTCGGTCCTTCGCTTGATCTATCACCGGTCGGCCTGTCGAAAAATCGTCCCATCGAAATTTAAGAGTGTCAGGAACAGAAAGTTCATTTATGGCTGTGCGTACACCGACACACGCACTGCACTATAATATCTCCTGCGCATCTGGCTAATGGCTTGGCTACCGGCACCGAAATCGGTCGAGGTGGACATCATTATCATCATAATAGAAGTAGAAGGACTTTTGTATTTACTAACTATTTATACTCACTACATCAATGATCTCAGCAGGCAAGACTGGCTTGACAAGTGCATACAATTTTTCGTAATAAGAAGGAGCATTTATACCAATCACTTTTTTTACACGAACTGGCATTCCCTCCTGTAAATATAAGCATATGTTTTATATCATATTCATTTTTTGCATTGTTAATATATAAGTTTTATAATAAAATTGTAACTAAGCCGAATCTGTACATTAAGTATTTCTTGTAAAATCTTATTGAAATAGACATTATTATCGATGCAGAGGCCGAATCTATAGATTTTAGAATTTTTGTCTGTCTGTCTGTTACCGCATCATAGAAAAACCACTGGAGGGATTTTGATGAAATTTGGTATGGTGATAGCTGGTTATCCGGGTCAACATATGGGATACTTTTTACCGCGGGAAAATGTCTCATTTCTGAGAAAAAATACAAAAACTGTAATGTAGGAGTGTACTAATATGTAAAACCTTAGAATTTGGTTTTTCTTCATCTAAACGCGGGCGGAGCCGCGGGCAATGCTTGTACTTAATATATCACAAGTAGACTGGATGGATGTTATCAGTGTATGGATGATGAAGAGTATTGTATATTACAGATAAAATACATAGTTTAAATTAAAGAACACTTACGAGTAGATACAATATGAAATCCCTTAAATACATAATATTAATCTTTGAAACCAATTTGAAAGAAAAACATGACATATCGATGACTATGTAATGTCCATCTGGTAAGTTCGGGTGATATTTGATCCAGGTGTCGCCTTGGATTGTTAAAGTTTTCAAATAATCATAAAAATTAAAATTATCCAACGTAGGATCGTCAAGTTTATGTATGACAACATCTTTACCATCGAACTCATATATCCCCAAGACTCTGAAATTAATAAGCAAATATTTAAACAAGAGACAATACTTATTTAAAAACTAAAAAAAGTCACATAAGATAAGGTCGATTAATAAAATTTTAATATAAATATACACATATGTAGTCTATATTCTGGAAATTAAAAAATACAGTTTTACAACTTTTCGTGTAAATGCAGATTTTTTCTCGTGACAAGCACTGAAGGATACCAAAGTTTTAACTCGGAGAAGACAGCTCCAACAAAAATGTCAGTCCCATGAATTTAAAAGAAAGAAATTTATAGAATTAGAACTTAAAGGTTTCAATGTACTCAACCGATTTTATTATGTTCTAGATCAAAACTTTTTTTTTATAAGCACCTTTTCTGAAGTAAGAAAAAGAATATTAATTAAATACAAAAATGTAGCTTTTAATATAAGTATTTCACAATTCACAACATTTTTTTTAAATAACAAATAGTGTAATAAAAAATAGTGTCAAACACACAAATATAGACAGACAATCGCAATAGGTATTTAAATATATTTTTTCCTTTAGAATTTTATTTAAATTAGCAAATCTGTCTGCTTTAGACTTTGTTAGGAGAAGTCGGACAATATGGAGAGCTCTACATGCGACTCGCTAGCCGGAGTTAGGCGACTCCTTACCTATAATGTAATAGATCTGATATAATATATATGTATGTAGTTACTTAAGTAAATAGGTAAGTTTCATCTTGTTCAAAATATCTGATTAAATATTTGAAACACGCAATGTGCAATAGCATTTTAATTCTAAACTCCAATCATTCAAGCATCAAAATAATTAAACCTTATGATTATTATGAAAAGATTATATTATATATTTTTTATAATCTAATATAGTTACGAAATTAACGGATAATTACGTAAATATATTACATTATTTAGATCTTAGTAAATTTTATTAATTTCACACAGCAGTGTAAAGTTGATTTTTGATGTTCCATTAATAATCTTTTGTTTAAATAACAATGTTTTATTATAAGTATTTAACTATAACATTATGTTAAATTTGCCATAATAAAATAAGTGCAGCCATGAAATATATATTTTTGTGAGTTCCCCATACTTAATTAAAAGCGCCATGGTCACGACCACGAGTATGAGTAACCCGTAAGTACTAAACAGTAAACATGGTAAATATCCCGTTTTGTATCATAATAATAATGACTTAAAAACTCGGGCAAAGTAAGAACGGGTCGCTAGTAAAGTCAATTAACGATGTACTTACATATGATCCAACATATTACGTATGTTGTCAGACAGTGGATCTCGAGAGATATATACTTCAGGCATCTGTGCACGTGTTATGCAGAATCTATTTATACACCTCTTAGTCGCTTCCAGACTAAAGTAGCAGCTATGTAAGAACCATATAAGCATTTTATCATCTGAAAATATATTTATTACATTAAATATTCAACAAAAACTTAATAAAATTACCTACTCAAACATTTATCTATATCTATCTATACTAAAAAAAAACTGTAGAGGTCGAATATCTGTACATAGAAAAAAAATGCTAAAAACCGGGTCAGGGGGATGTAAGAAGACAAATAGACAAATCCAGATTTTTTCAATTTTTTTGTTTCTCTGTCTGTTTGTACGGGCTAATCTCCGAATCTATTGGACCGATTTAAATGAAATGTTGCATGGTGGTACCTTATATCCCCGGGCAACATATTAGATACTTTTCATCCCGGAAAATTATAATAACTTATACAGCTTAGTACAGAAAACTACTGATTGGATTTTGATGAAACTTTACAATAATATAGTTCATACATGACAAAAGCAAAACGGCTACTTTTCATCCCGGAAATTTAAAAAGTTCCCGTGGGAAAGTTAAAAAACTATAGTAACTTATACAGCTTAGTACACAACAACTTATGCACCTAATTTAGTCAAATTTGGCATGCTGATACCTTATATTGCCGGTCAAAGAACAGGTTACTTTTTATCCCGGAAAACTGAATGGTTCCCGTGGGATAGATCTGTTTGTGCTTTTCTAGAAGCGAAGCCGAGCAAAGAAAGGGTGAGCCGTAGTAATACATAAAATGCTTTGTCCTGACTGACTTACTTATCGATCAACGCATAGCCTAAACCACTGGTCGTAGAAACGTAAAATTTAGAGGACATATTCCAATGTATTTTTCAAAAATATGTTTAATATATTTTTTCCAAGCATTTCGGTCAAGCCATAAACAAGAAGTACGCTTTAGAAAGTACCTGTTTGAGGGTAGTAATCGCCTTAAGGTGTACGTAGCATTGAGTCTTTAAAAATAACGTAAATGTTAGCCTGTTAGTATGTTAGTTAAAAAACTCATATTAGCTGTGTCGTAAACATTGTATGCGATTGTATCATTCTACTGTCTTCCTCTAACTTTGGAATGATGGAGTTGAAAAATGAGTAAAAAATACAGGTAGTGGAGCTTACTAAAAACCTGAAATTAAGATTTATTTATAGAATATGAGTAATCTATGTTCAACATCTTTTAAGATACTGGATATTTTAAGTTACGATCGCTAATATTATAGTTTTCCTTATATCTTCAAGAACACGAAATCTTACACGAACTTATTTTTGCAAATAATAAACTATACGTAGCGAATAGGTTTATTATTTCCGTAATTTACAATTATAAAATGAATATTTATTTTTTATTTTTTGTTATTCTGTTTGTTTACATGCGCTTATCTCTGAAATTACAGGTTAGATTTTTAAAATTCTAATTTATTTCAAGCGGACCCGCGGACCAGAACTCTTATCAGATACATTCCGACTATGTATTGTCATTAAACTAAGCTGAAATAAGTTGTTTTTTAATTGTAAAATATATAGATTTAATAAGAATTAACAATTTTTTTTATCCCAACTGTGTAAAGGTCATAATCACAGTATTAAATAACTTTAGTAAAATTACGTTTCGCTCGAGTTCGCCTCTAGAAAAACAAAAACAAATCTGTCCCACGACATACGATACGATACGAACCGTTTATTTTTCTGGGATAAAAAGTAGCCTATGAGCTATTCCAGACTATTGAAGAAATCCCTCGTAACCAAAGACTAGAATGAGAAATAATGGACACCGAACCTACTACCAGTAGCTCGATTACTGTACACAACGAATCTGACGAATCGTTTTAAAGTCAAATGGAAATAGTATCTTAAATTCGAACAAAAACAATCAAGGGCACATTAAAAAACGAGTTGCAGTTGTTTGAAGCATTTTTAAGTTTGCTTTATAATTACCTATAAGATTTTACTGCCAAACACTGAATTTGTGCTTATAAGAATTAAATATACAAATTGTTTAGACTATGAATAACGATGTTAAAATATGAAACAAAAAATATGTTTACTACTGTAGATTGCTTTATCTCGCCAAAAATTAATCTAATTTTATTTTGGGAAGTCTTGAAGTCCTGGGACATCCCAGGACCTTGGTCGTAGATGGTCTCGTGTCCTGAGACTTTGAGAATGTCGAGATTTTCCAAACCTTAATACGTAATCAATTAAAAGAGTCGCTATTAATCGGTAAATAATATTTTATTAGAAAATACATTAAACTTTACTCTATTTTTCCAGATAGTTTAGTTAATTTATTATATCCAATCTTAAAATTTTGAATATTATATAATACTAGCGACTCACCCTCGCTTCGCTCTGGTTCGTCCCTAGCTTCATTACCCATACAAACTTTCATCCCCATTTTCACCCTTAAGATTTCCGGGATAAAAAGTATCCTATATCCTTCCCAGGGTCTCAAACTATCTTCTTACCAAATTTCATCTAAATCGGTTCAGTAGATACATAGATTACCCCCTACAACCTTACAATCTCACAAACTTTACCTCTTTATAATATTGCTCGTAGTTTCGTGTTTAATAATACAGAAATTTTACAGATAGCTATCAATTTTATATAATAAAGTTAGTCTAAAAATATAACACAACCTCGAGTATTAAACATTTACTTTTTGTTACATTACATTACATTGTAAATGCATTGTAACAAATTCACATAATCTTAGTCATTTGTATGATTTAATTGTACTGAGATAGATAATTTGCATCAATTTTGATGTATATCTTTAGATACTTTGTCTCGTATTTTGTTTTTTATCGTCATCTAACATGATGAATGATTGATGTACACGTGTTATATATAATTAATGTACGAGTGTAACGAGTTGGAATTATCAGCATTCTGTGACTTCGTCGGATTCTTCCTTTTTTCTCTTAAAATGACATTGTTTCTTATAACGTTGATCCCCCTTTTAACTTTTTTAGGGATCAAAGTTCAAAATATCCTCCTTAGCGATTACATATATTTTTATAGGAATAGGATATCAAAATTTCAGCCAGTAATTAGGACTCTTTCGAAAAAACAACTTTATTTGTTACTAGCTTTTGCTCGCGACTCTATTCGCGTTATTTATTTATGTGTCTTTACTACGCTCCTAGGAGTCGAACATGATGTTAAAAAGTCTACAATTTTCCTCAATTGATAGATTAAAAAATTTAAACAACCTTTTAAAGAACCGGATCTGAATGGTGTTTCCAGGGATTAGCGTCTCTTCTCTCGTCTTCAGCGTTAGGTATATATGTATATAATATATATATATATATATATATAACATAAATAAAGATAAGCTATCGCCAACCCTCAAAAAAATACAACAATAAAAGAAGGACCATTCGACAAAAAAATAATTATTAATATTAGCAAAAATTGACTAACCATGATACATAAACTATCGATTTTAGTTTACCCACTTAGCCTTAAAAAACATAGAGAATAAAAAGTTTTCTTAACGAGTTTCTTCCAAACTATTACACTTTAGAATAAAGAATTATGATTTATGCAGCTAGAATTATTTATCATTTTCGAATAGGTACGTGCTCTGATATGATAATAAAAATATTCGTCTACTACAATATTATAAATGTAACAACTTAACTTAGATAATTGTTTCTTTGTACAATGGTTGCAAAACAATAATTAAAAAACTCATTAAGAAGTACAAGAATCTATTCAGCGTGCAATTAAAAACTAATAAAAATGGTTTTAATTCCAGTAAACATATTAATAAATATTTGTAGTCGGCGTTAATACAGAAGGATACTTTTTTCCTATCAAATTATTACCCACATTACAAAATGATCACAACTTATGTTACGCTATATATAGTTAATATTATAAATGTGAAAGTGTGTTTGTTTGTTTGTCCTTCTTTTACGGTGTGGCGGATTGGCGTGATTTTTTGTGTGATGATAGGTGCAGGGTTGGAGAGTGACATAGGCTACTATTTATTGCATGAGATTATCTAATTCCCACGGGAAACACGTTATAATACAATCCAAAAAAAATTATACGATCAGAGTTACTTGAAACTTGGTATTAAATGCTCTTCGATAAAATTAAATAAATACGTGTTTTAGTAAATAGAAATAGGGGATGAAAGTTTGTATGAAACTACCTTTTTAAAGTTTCTTTTTTTGTATTTTTAACGCGAACGAAGCTGCGGATTCTGCTAGTTGTATATATTTTGTAATCACTTCTTAAAAAACTTTCATTATGATACCCTACTCTTCACAGCTTTTTTTAAGATTGGCACCTGAAATCCACCATTTAGATTTTTAACAATACCTGTATACCCTATGATACTAGCGTTATCAAGACGAATCAAAAGACGTATTAATCATCTAAATCGGTTATGTAGTTTAGTAGTTATGAGGGAATATAGGGTCGGACCTACATACCTATATACAGGTCAAACACGTAACCCTCGGTTTCGCTACAGTCGAAAAAAAAAACAAAACTTATTGTTTTGCCGAGATTATATTAGTAAGGATGAAGTACGAGAAATATTTTTTAACAGAATGTCAAGTTATAAATAAAAAACGCGCAACTTTGAGGCCGCCTTCTTTCGAAAAATATTTTTACTTTTACTCTATCCGGAAAGAATATACATACACGATTGTAGTCTCGTATAAGATATTATGTATTTTATACTCACCAAGATCTTGAGGTAAATAGGGTTCTTTCGACATCCATTCCTTAATAGATAACAAATCTTGCTTTGAATGTTGGGGCATCTTAAAGAAAAATTTTAACGCATTTACACAAATCATATAATAATCATCAAAATCATATAATAATATAATACTACTATCTATATATTATATAATTTACTATAGGTATATCATACTATTACATCTAAAGATCTGTATCTATAATTAAATTGTAAGTAAGCCGAATCTGTCTCTTTATTAAATATTTTTTGGAAAATCTTATTGAAATATACATAATTGTCGATACGGAAGCCGAATCTATAGTTTTTAGAATTTTTGCCTGTCGACCTGTCCGTCTGTGACCACATCTCGGAAAAACTACTGAAGGGATTTTGATGAAATTTGATATGATGATAGCTGGTTATCCGGGTCAATATATATTAGTATAGGATACTTTTTACTGCGAGAAAATATTTCATTTCTGTGAAATTTATACTAAACGTTAAAACGCGAATCTAACCTAGCGAGTGTGACTCGCTAGTATAATATAAAACGAAGATTTAACTATGTAAAAACCATAAAAGAACTGATTGAAGTATTTACCGCGTTCGACTTATTCTTGAATTCCGTGTTATAGCTAGCTAGTGATATTAACATTATAATTTTCTAAGATCAATAAAATGAATTAAACAATAAAATTCTAGTATTTTCTGAACATAATTTTGATTAAAATAAAAGATCTAAAACATTTTTTTATAACTTAATTAGTCTACTTTTAAAATATAAAAAAATATATTTTTAACATTATTTTTCAATTATTATTATTGAAGTCATATCTTAAATTACTTTGAGATTTTCTCGCATTGCCTAGTAAGTATTACGGAAAAATAGACATTAATAAAACAAATATACCTTTAAATATTTTTTTCCTTTGAAAAATATTTTGCTTTTCTGCAACGTCCCCGCACTAGCTGGCCGCCGTCTAGAATATCGTGTTGTATACTGGACATAATACATATATAAAATCGATTTAAGTTTTAATTCCAAGGACTCGGTCTGTTTGATGAGTTACATGTAGGTAAATATACTTAGTAATCTAGTACATTATTTTTAAATAATATCATATCGATTTGAAATTTTTTAAGTAAGTATGTATACTCCGTATGACCAAGTTTAGTATCATACTAGCAGAACCTGCGGCTTTGGACGCGTTAAAACTACAAAAAAAAAAACAAACTCTTTAGCTTCATTTTATTGTATTATGTTACTATTATAAAGAGAAAATATTTGTATTTTTTATATTTGTAACGAATAAACTCAAAAATACTGGACTGAGTTAGATTTTATTTTTTATTCAAAATCAAAATAAAAATATTTTATTCAGCATTTAATTATTACAATTTTTTACTGAACGTCATGGGTCTACAACCAGTTCGGAAAGAAGAAGCCTCAGACCTGAGAAGAACTGGCGAAAGAAACTCAGCGGGACCAATATTCAATTATCTTTTTTTTAAAGTTAGATTATAATTTACAATATTTCTATCAAGTTGAAGTAGCCTGGAGGCGATCATTTCATTCCCAAGGTGTGCTATCTTCTATAAAATCATTTATTGTAAGCCTTTAGCACACAAACGTTCTTTAACATTTTTTTTGAATATGGCGATAGAAGCCTTTTGAACATTTTCTGGAATCCTGTTGTACATGCGTATATATTGTCCATAAAAAGAATTACTGACTCTGTGTAGACGAGTCACAGTCATTACAAGTTTGTGTTGTTCCTAGTATTAATGTTATGCATGTCACACTTCTTGGGAAATACGTGTATATTTTTACGGACATACATAACATTTTCGTACACGTACTGAGAAGCAACAGTCAATATTTTTATTTCTCTAAACTTATCTCTTAATGACACTTTAGGACCTAAACTATAAATTGCACGAATAGCTCTTTTCTGCAGGACAAAAATCGTATTAATAGCAGCTGCATTTCCCCATAGTAAGATACCATAGGACATAATACTGTGAAAATAACTAAAATATACTATGCGAGCTGTATCTACATCAGTAAGAAGTCTTATTTTTTTACCGCGTCCGCTGCAGAGCTGAGTCTACTCGCTAGCCCCTCAATATGGGGGCCCCACTGCAATTTCGAATCTATGATAATACCTAGGAATTTTGTGGACTCTACAGGTTTTAACACTTCGCCATTTAATATTACACCATTATCAACAAGTTTGACATTAGGTGTTGAGAATTTTATTAATTTTGTCTTTTTATTATTTAATAATAAATTATTTGAATCAAACCAATAGACAACCTTTGAGAGAGCATCGTTTACATAGTCGTACATTAGCGAATTGCGCTTCACTTTAAAAATAAGTGAAGTGTCATCAGCGAACAATACTATCTCATGTTTGTCCTGTACAAAAAATGGCAAATCATTAATATAAATTAGAAAAAGAAAGGGGCCAAGAATAGACCCTTGTGGAACCCCCATATGTAATGGAGCTCCAGGAGATCTCTTACCATTTACATCAACCCTCTGTATTCTATTTATTAAATACCAATTCAGAAGGTCGAGTGCCTTATTTCTAATACCATAGTGATGCAGTTTCCTAATGTTGGCAGTACCGAAATTGATCCAGAATTATTAGGGTCTAAGGTACTCTTAATAAACTTTAAGATTACTTATTTCTCAAAAGCATAATTCAATTCACTTAAAAAACCCGACTGCATAAAAACTACCAAAAAAGATGAAAACAAGTTCACGAAGGAATATAGTACATATTATTCAGTCGGAGACATACACGTTTCATTCTTGCCGCGAAATGTACACTCGTACACTAAATTGAGCTACAAAGGTACAAATCCACATACATATATACATATATACATACATACATATATAGGCTGATAAGCACATTACCCTCCTTTGCGTCGCGCAGTCGGATAAAAGCTAGCGATTTACCCTCGCTTCGCTCTAGTGCGTCCCTAGTTACGTTTTAGAAAAACAATATTATAATAATATCATACATAATAAGAATGACGTATTTTGCTTAGATTTTAATCATCCGACACAAGATTCAATAATACATTGTAACATTTAAATTTTATTATAGTTAATATATAGCTTCTAGGGCCGACCTCGGCACCACACCCAACAAAATAATAATAATATATAGCTTTAGCTATGTAAGCGTATGAACACAGTTTAGTCGAGTGCAATTAGTCATTATAAATGAAAATGAAACGAACCCAAATGGAAATAAATGGAAAAATTATAGCACTAATGAATTAATTTGAATAATTTTTTTATAAACTAAAAAGTTTACCAGTTAAAAATTACCAGTAATTCAGGTGTTTTGAACGTCCCTAATTTAAAAAACAAATCAAGATCTAGAAATGTACACAAAAAATACAATTATCGGAATTTTTAAATATTTATTTTCAGTAAATAATAACTGTTAGTTTTAGTCATATAAAAAAATAGTCATATAATAAAAAAATTTACTAGAAAATTGTAGGTCTTAAAAAGACCTACAAAAAGGTCTTGAATAACATAATATGTCTATGTCCTAAAGTACACTCGCAATACCTGCTTTAATCTATCTATACTTCTATATTAATATTATAAAGAGGCTAGTATACTGTATAGCATTATAATAGGTATCTGTGAAAGAGGTAAAGTTTGTGAGATTGTGAGTTTGTGACGCTGTAAGAGGATCTACTGAACCGATTTAGATGAAATTTGGTAAGAAGATAGTTTGAGACCCTGGGAAGGACATAGAATACTTTTTATCCCGCAATTCATCTCTTAATAGGGTGAAAATGCGGATGAAAGTTTGTATGGGGAATTAAGCTAGGGACGAACCCGAGCGAAGCGAGGGTCAGTCGCTAGTAATTATATTAAAATAGTAACTTAGCGAAATCGATGTGTGCGTTTCACGTAAAAAGTACTGAAACGATTTTAACTAAATTTTGCGTAGTGATAACTTATTACTGGGATCCACATTTAGGCTACCTTTTACTACAGGAAAATCTTTCATTCACACGGGACAACACAAGAACTGGTTTTCACTAGCATAAGTCTTTCTCCTAATATACCTACTATTTACATGATACATTACAGTCTACAGATATATCTCTATAATATCTATAATGTACCTAGGAACGCAGGTCCAAGCGAAGCGAGGGTTTATATATATTAAAGTTTATATATAAGTTTTTATACATATATATATATATATTATATATAACTGTGTTTTTCTCGAATGAAAATATAAATATAACTGTAAAAGGAATGTACATACTTTACTAGAAATAGCATCATTTTCATGGGACAACTCTTAAAAAAACATTAGCGGAAACTTTTTAGTTTTTAGTATAAAAAAATAAAAAAAAACCCAAATCAGCCAAATTCATTCACTATAGCTGGGTTCCGAGGTATAAACCTAATTGCAGTCGACTAGTTTATTTGACAAAACACCGACATAGTTCAGCAATTTTGTACAAAGTATTTACAAATTATACACAAACATTCATTTTTCGCTCTTCTATTAGTGAGAATCATATCAAAAACCGTAGCATTGTTAAAAGAAGTAAGCTGAGAAACAGCAATTACATCGCTACAGATTCCGTCTACTTGTGATATATTAAGTACTAGCATTGCCCGCGGCTCCGCCCGCGTTCAGATGACCAAAAACCAAATTCTTAGGTTTCACAGTTAGTATACTTTTACACAGCAGTGTTTGCATTTTTTCTCAGAAATGAGATATTTTCCCGCGGTAAAAAATATCCTATATGTTGACCCGGATAACCAGCTATCACTATATATCAAATTTCATCAAAATCCCTCCAGTGGTGTTTCTGTGATGCGGTAACAGACAGACAGACAAAAATTCTAAAAACTATAGATTCGGCCTCTGTATCGATAATAATGTTTATTTCAATAAGATTTTCCAAAAAATATTTAATATACAGATTCGGCTTGGTTACAATTTTATTATATGTATAGATGAAAAATTGTCTCCTTTATCGAATCAAAGTTGGATTCTGATAAAGTGGATGTTTTTATTGAGGGTG